TCTCTCAGATTCATTTTAACAGTCCCTCTCTACATCTCTCTATCGTCTCTCTCTCTAAGATTTTTTTTTTTTCTTCCTCAATCTTCACGACAACAACAGCCTTTCCCTTTCTCTCTTTTCTCCTATCTCTCTCTCCGCTACCTAGCCCTTTCTCTCACCATTCTCTCTCCTCGCGCCGAAAGGGATCTTCGCCAAGATCGACCGCCGTTTGAGATCGGGATCCGCCATTTTTTATGGCCATCTTTGTGAAACCGTGACTTCAAGCTCCACTCCAGTGCACGTTTGAGTTCTGCTCCGGTGACGGGGAAGATGACATGTTTAGAACTGGTGAAGACGACAAGGTGTGCTTGAGATCTCCATATCCAAGATTGTGCGAGGTATGCCAGCTCTCTCTCTCTCAACTCGCAGCCAAAACGATCAGATCCTTGTCGGCCAAAAATCGACTCAGTCATCGTCGATGATTCCGCTTCCCTAAGTTTGTTTTTTCTCTCTCTTCTTTACGAATGTCACGATCTGAATTGTTTTCTCATGCTTTAGTTTGTTCTTGTTGATGAAGTATGAAAAATTAGAGAAGAAATTTGTTTAGTTTTGCTTGTCCAGCTGGTTCTTGATTTCCTTGTGCCTGAGAATAATATTATTCGCAAATTTATAGTGTGCAATTGCTTCTATTCTGCTTTGTTTATAAGAGGAACTATTGCGTATAGATAGATTTTATGTTTTGTTTTAGAATCTCATATGTATGATATTTATGGTAAATACAATTTTAAACAATCATCAAAATCGATGTTTAGATATTTGAATAAATATGATATATATTAGTAAATACGATATTTATTAGTAAATATAATATTTACTGGTAAATACAATATTTACTGGTAAATACAGTGTTAAACGGTCGTTGGAGTCGACGGCCAAATTTTTGGGTAAATATCATATTTACTAGCCGTATATACAGTGTTAGATGGTCGTCAGAGTCAATGCCTGAATTTTCATATAAATATTATATTTACTAGTAATTACGGTATTTACTAGTAAATACGGTATTTACTACTAAATACAGTGTTAAACGGTCGCCGGATTAGTGCCTAAGTTTTCGGATAAATATGATATTTACTAATAAATATGATATTTACCGGTACATACAGTGTTAAATGGTCGTTGGAGTCGGTGCTTGAATTTTCAGATAAATATGATATTTGCTAGTAATTACGGTATTTATTGGTAAATACAGTATTTACTGGTAAATACGTTATTTATTGGTAAATACAATGTTAAACGGTCGCCGGAGTCGGTGTCTGAATTTTCAGATAAATATGATATTTACTAGTAAATACAATATTTACCGGTAAATACAGTGTTAAACGGTAACCAATGTCGGTGGTCCAATTTTTCAGATAAATATGATATTGACTAGTAAATATGATATTTATTAGTAAATACGGTATTTACCTATAAATACAGCGTTAAACGGTCACCAGAGTCGATAGTCGGCTTTTCAGGTAAATATTATATTTACTAGTAAATACGATATTAAATGGTAAATACGGTATTTATCGGTAAATACAGTGTTAAACGGTCATTGGTCATCGGTTGTCGAAAAAGGTCACTGATCGCCGGAGCAGGCCGCCAATTGCCGAAACCGGCCTCCGATCCCGACCATGGTGGACTTTACTATAATCTACCTATTTTAAAAAATATGCTATAATTTACTATTTTTTTAAAAAATAGATATTTAGAGGGGAAAAGTGAGGTGGAAAAGGAGGTTAATCTTTAAAATTTAGAATATCAAATTATACTATAATTTACTATTTTTAAAAAATATGCTATAATTTACTAATCCTTTACTAATTATGTTATTTCCTTCCTTATCCCAATATCAAATGATCGACCCACTTTTGGTAACATCAACGATAACGGTATCTCATCCATTTTTTTACTTTTTCTTTATTCCGTAAATTTCCTTTATTGTGTACTCCTGATATAAATATAATATATTATATAAATTTAATACCCATTAAAAATACGTCCATAAGAATTAATGGAAATCAATGGGAATCAATAAATGGGAATTGAATAGTTGACAAAAAAAAAATAATGACAATTCAGAATTCTTATCATTTTCACTTCATTAAATTTTTATAGTTAGAGATGACCATTGATAGAAATATAGCGAAAACTCATCCACATATATAACTGTGAAAAAAATATATCATACATTGAAATACATAATATCGATGTCCCATTGGAGAGTTTGGAATACCAAATTACATTTGTTAATGTTTTGATATTTTATTTAACTAGTCTTTGGCCAAGCAAAATAACGTTTAAAAAAAAGGTTATATAAATGGTTTTTTTAAAAAAGGTGAAAAAAGAAAAAGAAAAAAAGGATACTTCTCACACAAAAAAGATTCTAACTTATTTTATTATGCTTTTAATTAGTTTTATTATGTTTTCTTTGAATTTGTTTTTTATTCAATTTGGTGTGATTTGATTTGATTTTAACTCAACACATTTTTATTTATTTTTTCATTAGAATTATTCACAACATTTTCATGTGAGTAGTATCGGAAAGTTAGTGCAAGATAGCAGTAAAATGGTTATAATCCATACAAATTATTTATATATTTTTACCTGTATCGCATCGAAAATTCGGCTCAAAACAGTGATAAAAATCAGACAACAAATCACTTAAAAATAAATAAATAAATAAACATAATAAATAATAATAATTAGGAAAAAGGGAATGATTTTAAGCCATGCACGTGATTTATTCAAAATATCTAATATGCAAATTGTTTTAAAAAAGAAACAAAAGGGGAAAAAAGGCATAAAAGAAACGTGTTAAGAGTACGGTGATCCGAATTCTATTTGGTTTGGTTTGAAAAGCTCGCGGTACGACATATGTGGCAGAGCTTTAATTATAAAAGGTACTATAATTTTTTTGTGGTATGGACTTATTTTGTTTAATTTATTTTTTAATTTAATTTGACGTGAATTTATTTTATTTTATTGTTTGAATTTAATTTGATTACTTATAGTATTTTTATCTAAGTGGTATTCAAAATTAGCACAAAATGGTGTTAAAACGGACAAAATCAGACTACAAATCCAATAAAATTAGTTATTAAATATAATAAATAATAATAATTAAAAAATAATGCAGAATTTATCACATGCAGTTGGTGTTGGTTTTTGAAACGTTTTTATGTACGGATGTGTAGTAGTACGGATCGTGTATAATACAAATTTTCATAAAATTTTTGAATACTCTGCCAGCCTCAATCTAAATAGTTTACACTTCAGTGTCCTAATAAATTTTGGGGATTCAATAAAATTATATGTATATTTTTTAGAGTAAGGTATGTAATGATTTTTAAAAAGAAAATATTTGTTCTTAAAAGTAATTTTATTCAGAGGTAATTTAAAGAAAAGGTGTGTAAAAAGTAAAATGGTGTATCAATAGCCACACTTTTTTTTAATGGTGGGGTGTGCAATGAGTATTTTTTTTAGAATACTATTATCCTTAAAAGTAATTTTATTAATATGTAATTTAGTAATATAAAAAAAAGTATAAAAAGTAAAAAAATAGGTGTCAATAGACGCACTCTTTATTGTATTAGCGGGTTTAAATATGAATATTGTAAATGATATTATGATCAAACATTTAAATGATTGGCACTAGAATTTTGGGTACATCACAAAATCACTCTCTTCATATTAAGATACTGTTCCACTACGCAACTGTGGATTTTTTTCCCCTTCTTTTTTAGTTTTGGTTCTTTTTTAATATGCCAATCCTAAATTTATAGTAATGAGTTCGCCTATCTGCTTTACTTACCTTTCGGATTCGGCAGTCTACTGATATCCATCTTTATTCCAACTTCACCAAAAATAAGATAACATGCCTTGAGATAGGCTTAACAAATGTACCAACTCCTAATATAGGTGCTCTCCTCTATTCCATGTGAGAAAATCACCATTACTAATTGGATTCTGGAATTTTTCTATGGTTATTTTGTGATTTGAATATTCACCCTTTTATTTTCTAATGAGTTTCAAAAAATGACTACGAAATCATCTATTTTCATTTTTTTTAGGGAATAGAATCCTGCTTTGAGAATTTAAATACAATTTATTTTTCACCAAGATAATGCGAGTCTTTAATTTGAAGTTTTATTTTTTACCGAAAAACAACTCTAATCATGCTAACCGTTTCATATTTTCAGTCAAAATAACTAATGAGTTAGCCTTTTTTTTTTCCTCCACTCAAACCATTAGCTAAATGTTAATTATTTTAAAGAATGTCCTTCACATTAGTTAAATATAACTAACATTGGTGAGACTAGCCATCTAATTTTTTGTATTATTTTATTCTTTCAACCATAATAAATGCAAATGTTTTTTTTTTTAAATTTAATAAAATTATTTATATTTTTCAATAAATATTAAAATGGTATATATTTAATTAAAATAGAGAGTATGGTTAAAGTGAATCACTTAAAATGTTTTATTTTTTACCGAAAAACAACTCTAATCATGCTAACCGTTTCATATTTTCAGTCAAAATAACTAATGAGTTAGCCTTTTTTTTTCCTCCACTCAAACCATTAGCTAAATGTTAATTATTTTAAAGAATGTCCTTCACATTAGTTAAATATAGCTAACATTGGTGAGACTAGCCATCTAATTTTTTGTATTATTTTATTCTTTCAACCATAATAAATGCAAATGTTTTTTTTTTTAATTTAATAAAATTATTTATATTTTTCAATAAATATTAAAATGGTATATATTTAATTAAAATAGAGAGTATGGTTAAAGTGAATAACTTAAAATTGCTAGTTAAAATAGCTTTATAACTATTTTAGTTAAAACTTAACTAAAATGTAGAGAGTTCCCTAGGGATGCTTCTAAGGGAAGGAAGCTCCTTTTTAAACAATTAAAATAATTGAATTTTCAGTATAATAATCTAAAAGCTAAACCATATTGAAATTCGCCAACTTACGCAAATTTACATGAATTATGTCCTCCACATATGTAGAAGGGATATAAGGGAAAAAAGGAATTATTTATGATCCCCGAACTTATAGATACCCCCCAACCAACAGACGCAATGGGACTCGGATTAGGCACCTAGAATTCTACATTTGCAGATACGAAATGAATCAATATACAAGTGCAACTTTTTTAATCGGAAAAAGAAAAATATACAAGTGCAAAAAATAATGCACCTTCAAGGTGATAGTAGTACACACCAACATGGAACGACCATGCCATCAAATGTGTCTCGACTTCTGGCCCTGCAAAATAAATCATTTTTTTAATTTGTTAGTACCCCCACAAGCCAGAAGGGTATGCAATAACAACACACTTTGCAGAAGCACACACGAGTCATGGCAAACATCAGACGACAACTAAACAAGCAAACGCGGTACAATATCAGATGATACAAACGTAACTAGCAAAGAAGCTACATGATTCATGAACTATGCAATACCGTGTCTAAATACTTTTTGGAAAAGCATACATTTACCATGTACTAATAATAAGAAGACAAGCAGGAAAGAAATTCATTATTAAAAAAAAAAAAGAAAAAAAAGAAAAAAAGAAAAAGCATTCAAGATAAAGCATTATAGCATTTAAGTTACCTAAACGATTCCTCATGATAAGCTTGCACTTAAAAGCCCAACTGGCCTTTCTCTCCCAAATGTTTCATCATCAAAATCTTCATTTGTGGAATTCTCCTGACACAATAATTTGTTCTCTCGAATGGGATTTAGGTCAAGACCCTCCCAAACCATTGAATGACTCTCACGCATATCGCCCTGTTCGGACTCTTGATTGAGATCAACGTTGTCGTCCACATTTTGTCTCGCATCATCACATCCAAATTCCACACCTTTATCATCAACGCTCGATGGCTCTGCATTGAGATCAGAGCATAAATCATATCCAGCTTGATCTGCAGTACCATGGTAAGCCACAGTTACTGCTCCTTGATCAGCCTGCTCTGCAGCATCTTTCTTCTGTCTCTTCCATTTCTTGGTAGATGAAGTACCATCGTCCTCAAAATCTTCTTCTTCTCTTTCTCTATGCAAATAGACCCATAATTTCCTTTCCCCATCAAATTGTACACAGGGATCCCGTTCATAATGCAAACGATCTAGAGCTCCGCTAACAACTTGATTAACTTGTGCGTCAGAGACATCTTCAACAATGTACTGAGAGTCCCTAATCAAAGTACAAACATCTGCCCTAGTCCCGATACTTCCAGGCAATCTAGCAGCAGCATCTCTTACAAGACAGAGGATAGTAACATGTGGCGGTCGATCACGTTTCAGCATAAAGTGGTCCCGGGCTTTTGATGTTGGCTTCCCGCCACACCTTCTCAAGGGAGCAACAATCGATTTCCTACCATCGGCACCAATATAAGAGAAGGCCCTATCGGGAATTGAATACCTAAGAACTTCCTCCTTGCGGAAATAAGCCCTCACTTCTTCAGAACTTGGGCTAATGGTGTTAAGACTCTTTTGAGCTCTTAGGTCCCTGAACCTTTCTTTCTCGTCCAGATTAAGCTGCATCAGTGCCAAAGGCGGTGCAGGAAGACTTCCTATTTGTTGAAGGGTCTCTTGGCCACTTTTTAGCCAATTAGCAAATGAATCAACCAACTTGACAAGCATTTTGTGAGGAAGACCCCAAGCCTCGGGAGATGTGACCTCCTCAATGGTCTCATGATCTGACGAACTATGAGAAACTGGACCGAGCCATGACCAACTTTTTGAAGTTTTTTCATAGACTGCAAGTGTCTTCCAACCCTTTGCCCCTAACGGAGCTGTTTTTGATGAAAATATCTTCAAAACTCCTCTCACCAAGTCTTGAAGTGGCTCTTGCGTCTCAAGAATACAAGGATCTCCAGGGTTTGATCTCACACGGTTGACAATCTCCTGAACCGTCAGAGAAGGCGCGTTTACTTCCCCAGCATGCTCTACATCCACCTTTTCACAAGAAAGAACTCCATTCATCACACCCTCATTCTTATTCTGCTCATCTGCAGGCTTGCCAACCTCTAATGTATCCTCTGGCAGTGGAGTTATCATTGCCAAGCGAACTGCTGAAAGAAGATGTATTATGGAAAATGAGAAACCTGTATGGACAGTAGGCGTGATTAAAGTAAATGCCTTTTTCTGTGGCTTGTTCTCCAGCTCCATATCAGTTGCACCCACCTCTGAAACAGGTGGTTCAGAAGTTTCCATATCTGAACTTCCAGTGTCAGCCTCCACTGCCCTCTTCGCCTTCCTCTTTAAGGAATTGGAATTATTAACATCCTGTTGATGACTAGATATCAGGTTGTTGTCTTCAACTCCCTTGCACGTCTCTGCAATATCTATCTTCCCTTTCCGCTTCTTTGTAGAGGAGCTGCATCCTAGTAATGGGGCTTCAGATCTTTCAAAGTGATCACTCACATTAGTATTCTTACCTTTCTTCCTCAACTTCCCTTGTTTCTTACCATCTGCCAACAATCGTGGTAGTAGAGGTAAATCATCCTCCACATCTGCAACATAATCACCAAAGTGATGCGAATGGGTCGCAGAAGGATCACGGGTAATGCCCTTTTTCTGCTTCCCATCAGCAGGATATGCCTTGACAGATGGCAAATGCAACCCTTCACCAGGTTCCTCAGACAGTTGGCCATTCTTGATCAGATTGTAAACACGATCATTGTCATCATCAGCAAATTTACCAAGGCCCAAACTATAGTCGTCTTTGAAGACTCTGGCAGGAGATTCATTCAAGGGACTATCTCGCATCTTGCCCTTCTGTTTTGCTTTTGAAGGGTAGTTGTCTACGCTCCGCATGTGTCCCTGATCAACAAAACCACCAATCTGCTTAGAGGAGAACGTGGTTCCGTCAATGGCCTGTGTTTTCCCCTTCTTATCTTTCTTAACAAGCTTGGCCTTTTTGAAGCCTTGCCCAGGCTTCAATAAAGAAGGTCGGGAAGCTTCCGCAGCACCAGTGGGATAAGCCATCTTGCTTCTCAGCAAAGGGTTGCTATCCTCATCATCGTATAATTGATCTGATGATTCTGATTCTGTTTCTTCATTTTTATTAAACAAATTATTACCCCTAATGGCTGCTGCATCGGGAACTCCATTCTGTGCTCTGATATCTTCAAATTGCTTTGATCTATATTCAGAAGGTAAAAATCTATCATTCATCTTCTGTGGCGAAGCTCTATAAGATTTGTAATTTAGGTCGGGAGACTCCCTCCCAGCCTTCCATTTCTTGCTCCGAACATTCCAGTCCTCAGATCTAAAAGGTGAATCTACAGAGAAAGCCTCCTCTTGACCCCTGCTATTCCAGAATGATTCAGCTCGTTCTGATGAGTCAACTCGATTTCCTTTCAGAGCTTGATGCGTGAGTCTTCCCTTCAATGATTTCATCTGATCCCCAACTGCAAATTGCTGAAAATTATCAGGATGCTTGGCCTTCTTGGGGAAATCATAAGGAGCTCTCATGTTAGGAGGCTTTGTTGTGTAAAATTTTGCCTCTGATAAAACATTCGCATCCCTTCGCCTACCATAGGAATGTAAATCAGTCTTTGAAGACAGAGGCAAACCCCTCAAACTTTCAGAGGGTAATTCATCACCTCGCGGAAGATGTTTTCTCCCCACTTTCAGAATTCCCGACTTTTCCATCATGCTAATTCGATCTTGCTGGTCACCAATTCCATATAATTCAACATCATCACTGCTTCTCATCTGGTCCCTCATTCTGAGGACTGCCCCTGATTCGTACCTTGTTCTCTTACTATGTCGAGGCTGAGCTACTGCTGAACTGTATGGCCCAGAATTCATGTCCAGACCATAATAAACAGAAGTTATGCGCCCCCCAAGCTCCTTTGCTGCAGGATTCTTGGACCCACTCAACTTCAGTGTACCTTTTGGATTCTGCTTGCCATATTTTGCAGATTCAGAAGCCAATGACCCTCCACGAATATCTAAATTTGAACCAATCCCATATTCAGAATGGTGACCCATTTTCTGCACAATTTTCCTATCCTTGATCCTGCTGTTCCGCATGCCTTCCTCCGACTCTCTTTCCGACGAGTCAGTCACCAAATCTTCCATCTTCTCATGCATCAAGCTCTTTTGGCTCTTCATAATATTCAGAACTCGAAGCCTCTCTTCAATACTGTATCCTCCACAATTCAGCCAAGCATCCCTAATCTGACAAAGATTACTTACCATAGTATTCTGATGCTTCCTCAAAAGATGGTAATGCTGCCGTTTCTGGAAAAAATTCCAACCCTCACGGTAAAGGGCAACCCTCGGCTCGCACAAACCTCCCTTCAGCATATCAAACAACTTCTTAACAGGACTCCCAAAATGCAAACTACATCCAGTAAAGAGCTCCTTCAAAGTAAGCATATAAGTCTCTTGATCCATGTCAGGAAGATACTTAGTAAGACCAAACCTCTCCTCCTCAGTCAAGCACTCATTCCACACATCGATTGACAATATATCCTCAAGACCCTGAAGATCATAAAGCTCAAAAGGAATGCTACAAGTCTGGTTCCCAACTTGACAAAACTCCACACCAGTTTCTCCCAATTCCAGCAAATCAAAGTCATCAGACCCCGCCCCGGAATCAGCATCGTCAAATTCATCGTCGTCGGATTCCACGGCGGAGCTACGCCGTTGAAGCTCATCATCATCACTCGACATACTCTTCCTACTACCGGGAGAGAACTCCGAATCAATCCTCGAAACCTTAAAGTTGTTTTTCTCAATAGCCATGGATCATAACAACCAGACAAACCACCCTCTCCCGCCAACAAAAATACAACTCAACTCGCCGGAAAAACCACTCCCAATTCACAAATTCCCCGAATTTCACACAGGCAACGCAAAAAGCCGAATCCCAACCCTAATCCGAGATTAAAATCACAAAAACGGAAACAATTTCAAAATTTGCCACAAACACCGAAGTACATAGAAATTGAAACGCAAAAACTGAATAAAACAGGAAAAAATTAAAGCCAAAAAAACAAACTTGAAAATTTGGGGTTCGATTACCTCATGATAGACAGAGGAGAGCTTCAATGGCGGAATCGACGGCGAAAGCAGGGGAATTTCGGAAGTGGAGAGAGAGAGAGCGAGACGTAATTGCTGTGGAAGATGAATCTTGAAAGGTGAAAGTGAAACCCTAAGGCAAAAGGTCGAGACGGTTGTGGTATTTATATAGAAGATAAGTGTGCATGTGGGGAAGAGGAGGTCGCAGGGAGGAATGGTGAAGAAGACGATGGTGACGTGGAAAGAGGCGGGCCGTCTGATTGAGCGAAGGCGGAGGATGGAATGAAAAAAGACGAAAATGGGCAGAGAGGGCAAAGAGCGAAGGCAAAGGGAAAGATGGACAAAGCGTGTGCGCAGAGGTAGAGAGGAAGAGAGAGAGAGAGAATTGGAGAAAAGGGTTTTGTGTGTGTGAGAGAGAGAGAGAGAGAGAGACGAGACAGGGAAGGCGACTCGGTGAGTCACGAATCACCCGCCCAGAGGAGAGACCGAGCTGAGTTGACTTACGCGAGTCATATTGTTTTGGGTGGGCCAGGCCCCGGTTTGGAAAGTCCCGGCGGGCCATCTATCTGACCCGTATTCCCCCCCCATATTTGTAAAAATTATTATAGAATATTTTAAATTTTTTGTTACCTTTTAACATGACCAGTAAAATTATGCTTATGTCTAACCTTTTCTTTAAAAAAAAAAAAAATTTGCTTAACTCCCTTCTAGTTAACTTGTACAGTTATACTAATTACTACTACAATTAACTAGCATAATATATATATATATATTAATTACTAGGATGAAAATAATTTGGCATCATTTTTCAAGTTAATTTTGGATTGCTATTATTGGCAATAATTTGGCATCATTATTGGCAATCAAAAAAGCATTAATACTATTTTAGGTCTTATTTGGTATTTTCTTCAACAACAAAAAAAATAAAAAAGAAATCTGATAATATAACGAATAGGATAAGCGGTGGAAAATCTTCAGACCACATCATAATATATATATATATATATTAATTACTAGGATGAAAATAATTTGGCATCATTTTTCAAGTTAATTTTGGATTGCTATTATTGGCAATCAAAAAAGCATTAATACTATTTTAGGTCTTATTTGGTATTTTCTTCAAAAAAAAAAAAAAAAAAAAGAAATCTGATAATATAACGAATAGGATAAGCGGTGGAAAATCTTCAAACCACATCATGTGCTCCTCTATTATTAAGGCATGTCTCACTAATCATGTTGCTTTTACTACCATATCTAAAAACATGGTTAACTGAATATTTTGAAAAAAAAAAGGAAAAAAAAGACACTTTAATGGCATTTACAAGGTTTCCAAAATCACATGGGAAAAAACCAAAAACCACTAAAAACAGTAAAAAAAATTATGTATATCCCTCCACTTAAAAATGAAGAATTGTCATTCAACTGATAAAAAAAAAATAACATGACAATATTGAATTATTTAAAATAACATAAATAATAAATTTGCACAAAATCACAACAAACCACATACTTTTCTTAATTCTCCTCTCAATAATAGGATTGGAATCAAAAGCCTAGACAAGCTCCGTTAAATTTATCTCTATAGAAATAAGTGGCAACTAGCAAGCCGAAGTCTGTAACCCATTTGAGACTTGACAAAAGAGTTTTTTTTGGGACATCGACCTGATAAAAGAAGAAAGAAATAAATAATAATTTAAATAAATATCAGATTCTAAATAAAAAATTTACAACGTAAATCATTTATTTACTTCTGATAAATAGATTATTTATCAAGTAAATTTACCCTTTATTGATTTACTACCATTTTTCCTAATAGATAAATGTGAATGCTGGGTGCAAACCGTGCAATATAAGAAATAAAAACGAAACTATAAATATGTTATGGATATATTTTTTTTATTAATTGGAAATAAATGTGTTTGTTTTGCCCTTATGTCATCTACCAAACTGCACGTTTTTGCTTATTCCGCTGAAGAGTTCACAGCTGAAATTGTTTCGGCCCGACCTGCAGTCTGCCACTTTAGTCCAGCATCCGACACGACCAGTAAGGATTTGGGCCAACCGTGCCACATAGGAGTAATCTTAACAAATATTTAAGTGCATGATTCTTTATTTATAATTTTTTTAGTTAAATAATTACATTAATAAAAAAATATTTATTAAGAATAAAGGGTAAAAATTTAAACTCATTCACTATTAAGAATAAATTTTACAATTTTCTCCACATGGGCTAATCTGAGCTACGCCTAGATTCTATTCACTTTAATTTGTCCATTAAAAAAGAAATTATGAAAAAATTAATAAACTCACCTTTTAAATGTATTATTTTTTTATTAGAGGATATTAATCAACAATAAATGGTGAAAATTTAAGACCTATACATTTTAAAGAGTATTTTTCTCCTCTTCCCTTTATCTCTAATATTAGCTTCAAATTGATTTGGTGAGTAATTGGTGGGTTAGACATTGAAATAATAATAATAATAAATTAAGAGAATGAAATAAATAGTAAATTTATAGATTTTTTTTAAAAGTTAATAGTAGATTTTAATATTAAAAATATTAATATCCATACATTACCTTTATTATTCCAAGTTCTGAGCGAGGAACTTGTCCAAACCAAAACCAAGGTGTACGGCTAGACCATATAGTACGACACAATCCACAAACACATGATAATCAAAGTGCGGGAGAAAATCCTAGATAAGGAGAAAGGACGAACGGATTCAAATATATTGCAAAGACGTGGCAACAAATCGACTAGAATTGGGTCTTGGAAAATTACGTTGAAACTCCACGGAGTTCTTGTAGGATTTGTTTCAGACAAGAAGCTAGTTGGAACCTTCCACGATGAAACAACGTATTCAGATAGGCAGGCTGAGAACTGACACAGGTGGCGTGGCTATGGCGGCCGTCGTTCGTGATGACACAGGAAGGGCTAAGGCAGTGAGAACCAAAACAATTGAGCTTTGCTCTGTGCTGGAAGCGGCAAAACTCGGTCTGCTTTTGGCGTTGGATCTCCATTATCTGGAGGTGGAATTAGAGGGAGATTGCAAACGGGTTATTGAGGGTCTGATCAATGCCTCCTCCATTCCGGAGTGGTCTCTTATCCCAAATTTTGAGCAGCTTATTTTATTTTCTCATTCAATTCGCCGATTTAAGTTCATACGTGATTTTATATAAAAGTTTATAATAAAATTTTTTTAAATAAAAATTAAATATGACTTTTTATGAAAATTTTTAATTATAATAAAATTAAAATTAAAAATTTAAATCAGTAAAATAAATAAAACTTAAGTCTCTTTGGTCCGTTGAGTATATGTGAGTTCCTAGAGCTTGTAACTATGTAGCTCATGAGTTGGCTGCTTGGGCCTTGCGCTCAGGCCTATCTTTGGAGTTTGAATAAATGACGCATTTTCTGAGGGAAAAAAAAAAGGAAAAAAGAAGAAGTTAGGCAGGCTGACCATGCTTTTATATAGGGCCTACTGATTACAAGAGAGGAAAAAAAAAAGCTTTAATTTTTGGGGAGTTTTTTTTTCAATAGTCTCAATTTTTAATCGTTAAATCTTATTAAAATTACATTGTAAAAAAAAAACATAATAAATAGATTTTTATACATATCTGATAGCTAAAAAGTCAAGAACTACTGATAATATATTTTTACAGAGATTATCAAAAAAGTCCTTAATTCTTGATTTGTTATTAAGGTTTTTCTTTTTTCTTTTTTTGGTAGAAGGTATTAGGAGGTTTAGATACATATGTATACACTATAGGTTGTCAATTAATTCCATGTGTAGAATATAGATTTAGGAGTTGGTACACCAGAGTGAGGACATGTATGTGAGGCATTGTTGTTGAGGGAGTAGTGGCAAAACCATATTATAAAACGATCGCAAGGCTGGGAGAAAGTGAAATGGAGAGGATTTGAATAAGAGAAGATTGTTGAACTTATCTAAATTTTTATTACTTACTTTTGATTAATACTTTTTTAATTAATATAATTACTTAATGAAAAAGAATATTAATCAAGAGTGAGGTAAAAGTCCAAACTCATACATTTTAACGTGTATTTGTATTCATTTCCCTTTGAATAACGTTGTTGGAGGCCAATTTTTTTCTCATCTTATTATACTAGTATTGGGCATGTGCCTAAAGCACGTGTTTCTCTTGTTAAGATTTTTTTTCCCCAAAAATTATAAGTTTAAGAGTATGTTTGTTTCACAACTCAAGTTAAGAACTTGAGTTGTGTATATGAAAAAAAAAATATTGTAACAAAAAAGTTAAATTTGAATTTTTATAAAAGAAAACATTGTTGTAATAAAACTTAAATTGTGTCTTGAGTTGTGAAAAGAATAAGACCTTAATTATCAAACATGCGTAATTCGAAAATATATGAAATTACATTTACTAACTATGGTAAATATAGTCCGGTAGATGCACAAGTTTTCATTCTGGTGAAGTGAAAAAAAAAAAAAAACTTGTCCGTATCCATTCTTTTATACTGTATATTTCTTATCTTATATATCCTAAGCTAAAAACCAATGTTGCCCAACAATATTATAAATTTTCATGAGAAAATAAGAATTTCAGAAAAAACAACAAAAGCTATGCACCAAACATTAATGCTATTACTTGGTTGAACTAAAGGTGTAACTAAAAAGTAGAAGCAAGCAAGCAAATAGGTTTAATTATGCTGCAGTCAAAAAAAAAAAAAACAATATCCCCTTTCTATATAGCATAGAAAGAACTAAATTTTTTACAAGAAAAAAATAGTTAAATAAATGTGTTAAAGTAGAGGAACGAAAGTGGGAAGAAAAATATAAAGGTGAAAAAAAAGAAATTATATTAAAATTTTTCATATTAATGTAAGAGGGTGAGGTATGTAAGCCAAGTGGGCTAAACTTAAATCATTAGACTTCAACTAAGTGAAAGTTCGAACCATTAGATTGGTGATGTTGAAGTTTAATTTTTGTAAACTCATTCTCTCTTCTTATATAGAAGAAGTGAAGAAAAAGGTTATTTAATCTTAAATTTTAGATCAGTAATTAAGTACATTGGTAGATAAGCATGCTTATAACAATACATTTATCTTCTAGTTATGTCTCTTCTTTTCTTGTTCTTTCTCTTTCCGTATTCATCTCAAATTTCTACCATTTTTCTTATCGGAGAGGAAATCCTTAAATTACGTTTGGAGCAAGGATTCGTGCCATGATTCGGATCATAGTTCGTGACTTGCTACAGTGTTTTCTCTCATAAAAAACACACGTAAACTGAGAATGGTTCTGAATCATGGTTCTGAATTCATGAACCAAACGTCAGTATTTTTATAATGAATAAAAGATATATGTCCACTTACAAGTCATTTTATAATATTAATGTATTTGGTTAACTCAAAATTTAATATGATTGTGGTAAGTTCTTTAGATTTATTATTTTCAAATGCTTTTGTGTGGCCTTTTGCCTCATACGTAGCCTTTGAGAGTTAGATCTAAAAGATTTTAGAAAGGTAAAGATAGATGTCAACGAGTTCGTTATTGTATCGAACATAAAAATCTACACTTGATGTTGATAGTGTCTTAAAAGAGGCGAAGATTTATTTTTATAGAGCTTGATTTTTACTCTTTTTCAAACTAAGATGCACCTCATCTGGAGTGCACAAAAAAACTCCCTCTTTTTTAATATAAATAATGATTTAACTATTTTGTTTATTATGACGGATCATTAATTTATCGATCTTGATTTTTCTAAAAGATGTATAATTAGAATATTTGTTTTTCAAATAACACTAGAATATTTACATTAATTGAATAAATTACTGCCTTATTAAAAAAGGATATATATATATATATATCTATTTTTGAAAAGCAGAAACTTCCTAGATCTCTCTGAAACCTTTTATAACTTTTGAGTTAAATTTTTAAATAGCACTAATAAAAGATATTTTATAAATAATAGTAGTTTAATTATTTTCTTTGTCACCATCTTGTTAGTAATCACTAATAATTACTATAAGTAATAATTATAATTATTATAAGCAATTATGATAATTAACATGAGTAATATTAGAAATCGTATTATCATAATTATTAAAAAATTGACGAGGTAACCGCATAAAAAATTAATCCAAAATCAGAGTGAATACTCTTTTGTTTTAGTGCTATAAAAAAAAAAAAAAAACCATAACTTTTTGGTCAACTCCTGTTGTAGGAAAATATAAAATCACGTGTAAATAGAAGCAAAGTAAAGCTTGACTCGTAACAAGATTAATGACACCTATTTCTTGTAGTAGATAGAGAATATTTAGCCCCAAAGAAAGAGGAAACATTACTAACTGGTAAAGAAATGGCAAAATTATGAGTTCTAAACATTACTCCTATTTGACTTCTAAATAATCGCAACTTGTACATACCACAACTACGCCATGCTAAAGAAGGTCATAACTCATAAACGTGCTAACAACTCACTCATACAAAGATTTGACCAAATTATGAATTTAAAATGTTGCTCTTCACGTTACTATATTCTTTTATTTCATGTTCTTTGTTTGTCGCACGTCAAATCAACTCAGAAAATACAATGTACAAAGTTAATTTAACCCACTTGAGGACGTTTAGTTTATAGATTCTGAATTATTCTCAATTTATGTGTATTTTTTTTTTAAAAAAAATACTGTAACAAGTCACAAATTATAATCTGAATCATAACATGGATTCTTACTCCAAACGCATTCTACGTGTACATTGCATTTCTAGAAGTTAATAATTCATATTTCATTTTTTTTAGCTGCACCCACAATGGCCAACATCAGTGAGAACTGTACTTGATCAATCATTAACAAAATTCCTATTTGGGAGCCTCACCACGTTGCTATTATTAGACAGACATACCACCACCAAGCCTTACAATAAACTC